AAAAATATACTATATTGTTTAAAAAAATTAATATAAATATATAAATATATATATATATAGTTTGAATTTTTGAATCTCCTGTTTTTATAAAGAGGTTTCAGTGGGTAAATTTAAAATGAGTAAAATTAGTAATAATAAGCATGAATGTGTTGAAGACCTACTGGATTTTTCAATCAGTAATCCTCCAAGCAACTACATTTGAATAATGATTTTGTCCATCTTGAGCGATAGGTCATTGCATTTTTAGATTGCTAATAGACTATAATTATTGCATGCAATACTTACTGACTTCTTGACAGAAAACCAGTATACAGTATTTAAGTGCTTTTAACTTCTTTAGTTCATTGAAATCTTCAAAAGGCTAACACATCAAATACTGCAAGAGCTAGCAATTCCTGTTTAGTGTAATCGACAAGCGTGACTAAAAGTAGGCTAAATATAGTGCTCTTTAAAATATATACTGTATGCTGTGTTATAATGTATACTGTAGCATCAATCTAATATTTTTGATTATGTTTGATCATTAGTCAAGAAAAGGGCAGCATCAACACCAAAAGCCAAACAAGCTATTAAAGTTGTGGGTAAGTTTTAATGATTATTTTAACAGTGCATTATAAAAAGCCTGATAGACATCTCTGTATCTTTGAATATCCCCCCCAAAAAAGAGAGAACATATCTTTGATTTCCATTGCTAACAAGCCTAAAACTGGATCTAAAGTTTCCGAATTGTATTCTTGACAACTCACAGCACGAAATAGACAAGCGTGGCAAAATATTGAGGAATTGTTTTTATATCAATTTTCCAATGGATGCTTTGTGTTGTGAACACTGGTACATGTTTTCTTTGTTTTTGTAAAAATACAAACAACTTACTGCATGGATGATTATAAGGTGGATCAAGCAAAAAAAATAAATATTAAAATCTCACTAGACTTCAGTTGGCACAGGAAAATTGGATCTGTCAAGTTATATAACTTCAGATGAAGTCATGTCAGAATTTCTCTATTTTTATGACAGGAAGTGCACCTTTCATGTTCTGCTCCATGACTATATAATCACATAACTGAGCATGTGTTCCTGACACCTAAAGAATAGAAATAACTCTGATTTTAAACTTGATTAAAAGACTTCGCATGGATACTTGACGTGCAATTATAAAGGTGTCAAATTCACATATTGTGTAAATGTGAAATCACAGGAGACTGAAAGAAAATATGACAAGCAATATTTTCCTTCACCTCCAGGAAAACCTGCTCCAGATGAGAAGAAAATGGCAGAAGAAACCAAAGGTATGAAGAAGTCAATACCTCGGTTTTAAAAACTAGTGTGCTGACTATTTAGACATCATTTTAAAGGGGTAAGTCATCCCAACGTGATCTCATGATAATTCGTATGTATTTTACGTAACGTGGTTCTATAAAACGTACATTTATTTACGTTTTTACAGGCACTAAAACGTACAATACTGACGTATTTTCAGCATTTAAACGTACAAAATTGACGTATTGACCACACCTAAAAATTTATCCTTATGAATATTGAAATCGCGGCATTAATT